AAATTTTGAAGCCCCAAAAAATTTTATATGAATTTTATACTAAAATTTAAACAAATTATATTATTATGATATTAAAATATCTTAATCCATAATGAACAGAATCTTTTAAATCCATTCTAATCCCTTAGGCTAAATAAGAATCTAAGTAATAAAGAAAAAAAGGGTTTTAAGAGAGAAATAAGGAGAGAGAAAATAGAGGCATGAATTTGGAGGTCGTAAAATAATTTTTGTTTGTCGACTCTGTTAGGAGATTTGCTCGCCTCGTTGTAGGGAACCATTACCTTATTTCTGATTTCAATTATTTTGTGTTTTTAATATTTTTAGATTAATTTTGTATTTTCGTTACTGAAAAATGAGGATAATTTTGTATTGGCAAAACTTCACTACATAACTTTTAGTACATAATAAATCTCGTCAATATGAGCATTTTGACTGAAATATATTAAATTTTTACTGATTAAATTGAAAGATATGATTTTTTGAAGTAAATGAATAGTAGATAAATTTGATAGATTTCTCTTTATTTATAATTTTTTGCATTTCATATATGATATTGACTTATATTGCATAGAAAAGATAGCATTTGTAGTAAGCAAGGAAGACTGACTGTTAACACATTATACTAAATACATGTTGGCTATTAAAATATAATACCCTACATAGGAAGGTGGGCCGACGATCTTTCTTTTAAATAAAATATTAATGGTGTAATCGAATGATTGAATTATGCTGGTAGGAAGAGAGTGATGACTTTTAAATGATTATTGAAAGACACCTGTGAAAATAAATGATTAATAGAAAAAATGAAAGATAAGGTGAGATTAACAGATTGATAGATATGACAGATAATAGATGTTTAAAAGAAAACACCATGTCAAAGCTGGATTACCATGCCTTTACATTAATTGATTAATAAATATAACTAAAATTATACTACATTAATTTTGATACAACATAGCATAACATACTAGCATGACTTATTTGGTGATTTTATTGATCATATTAATTTTATTATTAATTTTTGATATTTTTATTACTCATATTAAGTGATGATTTATATTGATTAATACTGAACAAATATATTGATTCTTTTGTCTTGCATGGAAGTAGTAATAAAGTTTTGATCACTTATTGGATTTTTATGCTCATTATATGAATTTTTATGATTTCAGGTCATGGTAGGGATCATGACTAGTTGGAGTGAGATTGATAGACATCCTTAGGTTTTCTTTTGATTTTATTTTTATATTATCTTATATTGTTTAGTCAGAAGTTTGTGATAGAGTAGTAATTGTATTGATCTCCGACTATTGTATATTGATTTTGGAAATATAGTGAAATATTTTGAGGTATATGATTGTTAGTTGCTTTCAATGGATATAGATTTATTACTGTGATGATTTATAGAAACTCTTGTTGATTAGATAATTTTCCAAAGTTGATTCTAGGGTGTTTTAATTGGTAGCAGAACATAGTTATTAGAAGAATTTATTTTTTATCAGAGCTGTAAGAATTGATTAAGAGTTGGTTAGATTAAGATACATTTTTTGCATATATAATTAATTGCATGTGTGAATTACCAGTTGAAATGGATCCGCCAGAGTCAAATATACCAAATGAGCAATATAATGCAGCTCTAATGCCATCAGGCAGTGTTATGCACTTGGCCACTATTATAACACAGGTAATGGGGATGCGCAAAGTAAGTCAGTTGAAAATAAAGAAGAGGGAGAAGCACTTACAGACATTCCATAAGCTGAAGCCTTCACTGTTAAAAGATCTGTAGGATCTGAAGCTGCAGAAGTTTGGTTACTGAGGATTAAAAAAAATTTGGATAACATGCATTATATAGAGACCAGGAAGGTACCATTAGTTGTGTTCCTCTTTGAATGAGAGGCTGAGAGATGGTGTGTTGGACAGTAGGGAGAAAAATTCTTGGGGAAGACTAATGTTGAGATCACTTGGGATGACTTCGTGATAGTGTTTAGGATGTGATTTGTACCTCCATCAGCCCGACGACAGATGCAGAAAGCTTTTATTAAGTTGGACCAGGGATGCAAGACAATGATGCAGTATGAGGTTTAGTTTGCTGCACTAGCTAGATATGCTTCTCACTTTTTCCCTACTGCTGAAGAAAAATACTCCAGATTTTTGTAGGAATTGAGCAGAGAGCTGAGACATCTGTTAGTACTTTTACAGATTTAAGAGTTTTTTGAGTTGGTGGAGTGGATCAGATTGATAGAGATTGATTTGGTAGCACCAATATTCAGATATGAGGTGGACGCCAGATACGATTTCAGTAGGAAGAGCGAAGAAAAGACAAACAGAGGTAGAGATAGAGGCTGTGTCAGCGAGAAAAAGAAAGATATAATTATTCGAGGAGATCTGATTTGATAACATATACATACAGTTATGGTGAGTACATTCATTGTGGTCGACAACATGCGGGTCAGTGTTACCTGTTGGTTGGACGTTTTCACTATGGATAGTAGGGACATAAGGTAGCAGACTGTCCTCAGAGGGGACGTTCAGGAAGAACTGATTCTGGTTTAGGACTGTCCAGACATATTGTAAAACAAAGGACTGTAAGTTCCAGAGTATATAATGAAAGATCAACCAACATGGCGGATGACAGATCTGTCAGTGGTAGTCAGAGGGAGACTATTGTACCATAACAGACTGCACCTACTCCAGTGATGTTACGTGTGTAAAACTTGTAGTATTTGAAAGACTGATAATAACATGAGAGTTCTGCTGATAAGAAGTTTATTTTAAATGATTGCATGACATAACATATCATACATAATTAAATGTCATATAATAGAATGAACTGTATGATTGGATGATTTCTTGACAAGTTTTGATTTGATTTAAATTTTGATCATACGAATTTGATTTATACCGATTTTGTGCCTATATTCTTAAGGAAAATGTCGGAGATGACTTTTTTTTAAATGGGTAGATTGTAATAACCTATATTTTAACCAATATATATAAATAAGAGGAGAGAGAAAATAAAGACTTAGATTTGGAGGTTGTAAAAAGATTTTTATCCGTCGACTCTATTGGGAGATTTGCTCGCATCTTTTTAAGGAACTATTACCCTATTTTTGATTTCAATACATTTTTTTTATATATTTTCCTAATCAATTTTGTATTTTTGTTACTAAAAAAATGAGGATAATTTTGTATTAACAAAACTCTCACTGCATAATTTTTGGTATAATCTCATCAATATGAGCATTTTGATTGGAATGTTAATTTTTTATCAATTAGATTGAAATATATGATTTTTTGAAGTAAATGCAAGGTAGATAAAATTGATAGAATTTTTTTTTATTTATAAATTTATGCATTTCATACATGATATTGACTTACATTACATTGAAAAGATAGCATTTGCATATAAGTAAAAAAATGTTTGCTGTTAACATTATAATGAATACGGGTTGGCTCTTAAAATATAATATCCTTCGCAGGAGGGTCCACCGACAGGCTTTCATTTAATTAAAAGGTTAGTGATGTAATACAAGTTGTAGTCTGTAACTGACTGATTGAATTATGCCGATGGGTAGAGGATAACAACTCTTAAATGATTATTGAAAGCCAAATAATTAATATAAAAAAATGAAAGATAATATGAGATTGGTAAATTGATAGTTATGAAAAATAACAAATGTACGAAAGAAACACCATATTAAAGTTGAATTGTCCTGCTTTGCTTTATATTAACTAATTGATAGATATAACTAAACTTATACTGACATTATTTTTAATACGACATAGCATAACATATTAGGATGACTTATTGAGTGACTTTATTGATCAGATTGATTTTATTATTAATTTTTGAGATTTTTATTACTCATATTAAGTGATAATTGATATTAACTAGAATTGAACATGCATATTGGTTCTTTTACCTTTGCATTGGAAATAATGATAGAGTTTGGTTGCTTGTTGGACTTTTATGCTATTATGTAGGTTTTTATGATTTCAAGTCAGGGAATGAGTTAGGACTAGTTGGAGTGAGATTGGGAGAGATACTCAGGTTTTCTTTTGATTTTGTTTATATTTTCCCTTAATATTTTGTAATCATGAGTTTGTGATAGAATAGTGATTGTATTGATCTTCGGCTATTATATATTGATTTTGGAAATATAGTGAAATATTTTGAGGTATATAATTATTAGTTGCTTTCACTGGATATAGATTTATTACTGTGATGATTTTAAAAGCTCTGGTTGATTAGCCAATTCTTCCAAATTTGATTATGAGGCATTACAGTGAGATTCTGCTTAGTATGGTACAAGCTAAGGCTGCTGAGCCAAAGTGAATGATGTTTTGCATGCTATATCAAGGAGTGTTGCAATTAATATCAGAGCGTTACCTCTTTTAGTATGAAATGTGGTTATAAGCTTTCTTGCATTTACTCTTACCCATAAATTTATGGTTTTATTCCTCCTTGAGGCCTAAAATTGGTTTATTATAGAAAGATATTCCATGTTTTGTTTTCTAGATATAAACTATAAATAACTTTCAGAGAGTATTGTATTGTCTGTATTAAATTACTTAAGATGAAAATACAGATGAGCCATTGTTATCGGTGCATAGAATCTCATTAAAGTACTCATTCTTAAAATTAAATAGCGGAGGGAGAGAGGGAGGGGTGAGTAGAGTTATATTGGAGTCTCTTTTCTTCATAGTTGAATAGAGAGAGAACGAAGGAGTTGAGGGAGAACGGTAGTGAATGGACAAAATTCTTAAGTTGTACTTGAGGAACACGTAGGGAGGGAGGGAGAGTTGGAGGAATGGAGAACCAGGTTAGGGAGATAGGATTTGTCAATGGATAAATATTCTAAGATGTACTTGAGAAACAGTTTATTAATAATCTGATATCAGTGGTCCTCAGTTTTAGAACTTTATTTGTTGTGCCAGGTTATATTTCTTTTTCATTGGTCATTGTTCACTTCTTATAATTTTAATTTTGTTTTGTGTAGGATTTAAGCTTGGGTCTGAGAAGCATACAACTGAAGTAAATTTGAAGAAGTTTGGTGCTCTTAGATTGATATCTGGAATTCAAGGTTTATCTTTGTTAAAAACTACACAGGTAGAATGTTATATTACTTTGAAATATTTGTTGTGGGTTCTTTTTTGGTCAAAATTAGATGCACCGGTATGTGCAATACAGCTGGTGCTATTGGGATTTTTTTCTTACTGTGAAATAAATGCATATACTTTATTTTCCATGACTACATGCTATAAAAGTTGACTATCAAAACTCTTGATTAGAAATACCAGCTCATAAAAGATGATCTTTTCAGGAAATGGAATGCCTTATGAATTTTGGAATTGAAAAATCACATACAATAATAAAGCGACAACTGATTTCCCATGAATTATATAATAAATTCTATCCCTGGATGGATAATCTTAAAATGTTGCAGTTTCCTAGCATTTGCGTGTGTTGTGTATGTTCCACCTACGCTAGTTAGATGTATTTCATTGAACTAAAATTATAGCTTAATAAATAATCTCATTTCACCACGATTGTGCCATTTGTTGCCTTCGAGGATGTAATTAGTATGATCACTAGAAAAAAACGCTAAAACCATGTGTTGAAGGCTGGAGAAAATGAATTAGACACCTAACAACAGAAAGATAGGCTACAAGTGAAGAATAAAAGCAGCTACTAAGTGAAAAGATAGAAGAGAGAAATTCTTCAAAATGTTTTTCATTATAATTTGGGGGTTGGGTGTAGGGTGCAGGATTAATGCATTCGAACAACTTGCATTGATCTTACACCTTATGGGCACAGGTACTTAGTTCCCTGTCATTTATTATGTTTATTAAATAACAATCCAAATTCATGATACAAGGTAAAATTATCACAAAGCAGAAGCCTTATGCATTAATGAAAGGTAAGTTGTCACGTTGCATTAAATTTACCGTGAGGAGGCCTTATTGTAAAGCAGAGCTTTCCTTAAACTTAAGAAGCCTATGTTTTCTACTTATTGTTAATTTGATAAACGATATGTTTTTGATGAAGGAATTTATCAATTGCTAATTAAGTTATACTAGTTGCATTTTCCTGTCCTTTCTAGAATTGTCTCATATTGCATGTGGTGCCCCTGTGTGTTCAGTCAATTGTCAATTCATGGATTCTTGCTTTTCTTCAACACATTTTAATTACTCTGTAATCCTTATTCATCCTGATACAGTTTATAAATTCTTTTTATTTGCTAAATTTAAATAAATTTGTAAGTGTTTGCATAAAAATCTGCACCAGTTTTCTTGATCTCTTTCTGGTATTTGATTTCCTCTGAGTGCAAAATGAAGTTGGTTAAATGTTTTATTTTAAGTATAGTTGTAAAATTGTTTACTTTCTACATTTAACTATGCAGTCTGGTTTCGAAGGATTTATTAGGGACCGCTACACATTGCTTCCAGAAACAAAAGAAAGGATGTTAGCAACAGAGGTTACGGCTCTCTGGAGGTGCTATTCAGTTTTTTTAGGTTATTTTCATTAAAGCCATTGTCATCTCCAGCTTCCTAGGACCTTTTTATTTTGTGTACCTTTTTTCAGAATATTTAATGGAAGGCTAAGTGTACTTATGTTGATGCGCATGGGAAAAGCTTCTCCTAATGGAAGTTCAGGAGTTTCTTATCTGACATAAAGACCGGCTATTTTTTTTTTTTTTTGCTTTGACAGTTTGACTTAACCATCTAAGATTTCAAATATGCCGTAAGATTTATTAAATTGTTAGTTACAAACATCATAGAGAAAAGCTCCAAGTCTCAAGTGAGTAGTGGCAGAGATGCTTTCATTATTATTTTTGGCAAAATTTTCAGGTGACTACGTAATACAATACTGCAGCAGAAGAAACCTCTATTCCTTAGCTTGGGCTTGATGGCTATGTATTTAGACCTATAAAGAGAAGAGATTACAGTTTAGTGAATAATTGTTGGAATTTATTTTTTGGGTTGTCATCTAGGCTAGGCCAGGCCTGACAATTGACCCGTTAGCATGATACTTGATCCGCCTTTGACTTGATTTGATGACCGTATACACCTTTTTGTGACATGGGATTCATTAGGCGTTTAGACAAATTTTTTAATGTCTTTTGCCTAACATTCTCATCCTAATGCTTATGTATGTTCCTTGGTTCTGTGAATGAGGCTAAAGATGATGAATGAAAGTATTACTTCTACTCCTAATTTCTCCCTCCCACCATCCTTCTCTCTCTCTTCCCCCCATTTAAGCTAGTTGGCCACCCTTCCACCTCTCCACTTTTCTTCAAGTACTGTATCTCTCCTCTTCTCTCCCTCTCTTCCTCTTCCTCCTCTTCTCTCCTCTTCCCAATACAGTTCTCATATTTTCTACTAGAAAATTGCATTTAAGCCCTTCACACCCAAACCGATCTTCGTCATGCTAATCTGATGGAATCCAAACATCTTTCATCTCATCCACATCCAAACCTTCAATCTCACACTCATCTTTTCAACGAGAGCTTGGCTGGATTAAGGCAATGTTATTGTATCTTCATCTCACACATTGAAAACTTTATCAATTGGTAGCAGAGCAGAATCTCCAGCACTCCTTGGTGCTCACTTCATGCTCGCTGGATTTCTACTCGCTGATTTGCTTCGTATTTTGTTAGACCGGTCCAGTGGACCGGTCCAGCCGGTCCGCACGGGACCGGCCGAGTTACTGTTTAGACTGTGTTGCCCTCGTTTCTAGTTTTGAGTCTGAGCTCAGACAGTGGTTATGAGA